TGCTTTGTTGGCCATCTGCTGCATGATATTCCTGGGCTTTGCTGATGATGTTCTGAACCTACGATGGAGACACAAGCTACTGCTGCCCACTATGGCCTCCCTGCCTCTACTCATGGTCTACTTCACTAACTTTGGCAACACTGTCATCGTCGTGCCCAAACCTTTCCGTGTCCTGCTGGGGATGCATCTGGACTTGGGTGAGTTTGACAGTCTGCTTAAATGTCTGGCACTCTATATGGGTTGATTTCATTGTCCTCTTGTTTGATACGTATGATTGTTGATATTCTAAGCATTTTTTATATACTGTGTTTCAGGCATTCTGTATTATGTATATATGGGAATGTTGGCTGTGTTCTGCACAAATGCCATTAACATCTTGGCTGGTATCAATGGCATTGAGTCAGGGCAAGCTCTCTTCATATCTGGCTCCATCATCCTCTTTAATTTACTGGAGCTCAGTGGTGAGAGGAGGGTTTATATTCAACCTGTTTTAGCTCATTTCCCACCTAGATTCACATTTCTTTGTAAGTTCTTAAAATATGCATAATTTATATAATTTCTATGTACAATACTGTTCAAAAGTTTGAAATAATTGCTCACAAAGTGTGTTATTTATTTGATCAGTTAAATACATTAATATTGTGAAATAACTGTTTTTATTTGAATGTATTTTGAATGTAATTTATTCCTGTGATGGGCGAAACTCAATTCTCAGAAGCCATTACTGCAGTCTTCAGTGTCACATGATCCTAAATTTCTTTAAACCTCTCTGACACTGCTTGATTTTTATTTAAGTCTTTAGCTATATTCTCTAACTTACATTGTTCAATTGATCTCTATTTGATGTTTCTCTTTCAGGAGACTACAGGGATGACCATGTTTTCTCTTTGTACTTCATGATTCCCTTTTTCTTCACCACATTAGCCCTCTTCTACCACAACTGGTTTGTTAAAACTATTGCTATTTGATCATCTGTACTTACTTTAGTTTAAGACAGGCCAATTTAAACACTGAACTCTATAAACTAAGTTTGACAAGCAGCGCTGTTAATAATCTCAGCCTCAACCACTCCTGTATTTGAATAAATAATAAACCTTTGAATATCTCATATCAGGTATCCTTCCTCTGTGTTTGTGGGAGACACTTTCTGTTACTTTGCTGGAATGACGTTTGCGGTAGTTGGGATACTCGGCCACTTCAGTAAGACCATGCTGCTTTTCTTCATCCCTCAAGTCATCAACTTCATTTACTCTCTGCCTCAGCTGTTTCACATTATTCCCTGTCCCAGACATCGCCTGCCTAGGTTGGTTATTACACTAACATTTTAAAATCAAGCTATAACAAAGATTCCTTTTTATTTGCAGTAGAATTTATTTTGACAGTCATTGAAAGTTAATTTAATATGTGGGCATTTAAAGTGTTAAACTCTTTGGTTATGAGATGGTTGTGAGATGAGAGCTTGACCTCTAAAACTGATTAATGCAGGTTACAGTCTGACACGGGAAAGCTTGGCATGAGCTACTCCAAGTTCAAACAGAAGGACCTGGGCAAATTAGGACAACTTATTCTGGAGGTAAACACACACATGCCACTGTAAGTATTTATCATTAGAAATAGGTTTAGGAATGTTTGTTTAAAAAGAATGTTACTTCTGCAACAAAAGAGCCAGGAGCATTTCCTGTTTGGTATTCCCTCTGTGTTTGAATGTGATTTCCTCTTTTATCCTGCAGGTGGCAGAAATGTTATGGCTCCTGGATGTGCGTAGAGGGCAGGAAGGAGATGATGAGTTTATTGAGTGTAACAACATGACCCTTATCAACCTGGTACTAAAAGTGCTGGGTCCTACCCATGAGAGAAACCTGACTGCAATCATGCTGTTAATACAGGTGAATCCCTTGAATTTATTACAGAGTTGAGAGCTAATGTGCTAAACTATTGTTTCAAACAACTTTGAATTGAAATAACCATAAAGAAGGTTGTGATATTTGGCATTACCTTTGCTGGAATGACGTTTGCGGTAGTTGGGATACTCGGCCACTTCAGTAAGACCATGCTGCTTTTCTTCATCCCTCAAGTCATCAACTTCATTTACTCTCTGCCTCAGCTGTTTCACATTATTCCCTGTCCCAGACATCGCCTGCCTAGGTTGGTTATTACACTAACATTTTAAAATCAAGCTATAACAAAGATTCCTTTTTATTTGCAGTAGAATTTATTTTGACAGTCATTGAAAGTTAATTTAATATGTGGGCATTTAAAGTGTTAAACTCTTTGGTTATGAGATGGTTGTGAGATGAGAGCTTGACCTCTAAAACTGATTAATGCAGGTTACAGTCTGACACGGGAAAGCTTGGCATGAGCTACTCCAAGTTCAAACAGAAGGACCTGGGCAAATTAGGACAACTTATTCTGGAGGTAAACACACACATGCCACTGTAAGTATTTATCATTAGAAATAGGTTTAGGAATGTTTGTTTAAAAAGAATGTTACTTCTGCAACAAAAGAGCCAGGAGCATTTCCTGTTTGGTATTCCCTCTGTGTTTGAATGTGATTTCCTCTTTTATCCTGCAGGTGGCAGAAATGTTATGGCTCCTGGATGTGCGTAGAGGGCAGGAAGGAGATGATGAGTTTATTGAGTGTAACAACATGACCCTTATCAACCTGGTACTAAAAGTGCTGGGTCCTACCCATGAGAGAAACCTGACTGCAATCATGCTGTTAATACAGGTGAATCCCTTGAATTTATTACAGAGTTGAGAGCTAATGTGCTAAACTATTGTTTCAAACAACTTTGAATTGAAATAACCATAAAGAAGGTTGTGATATTTGGCATTACATCCTCGCTAATGTACGAGGAAGCATCTTTTTGATCATTATCATAAGTCCTATCTGACAGTGGTTCTCGCACTCCTAGTTTCTGTCAATTTAAAAAAAAGAGTTTTATGAGTTGAATGTTCTTCAGGGTTTCCACTCTTTTCCCATTTTAAAGGTAGGGATTTTCTCTCTATGTCTATACAATTTCTACCTGATACAATACTTTAGAGATTGGCATAACTAGCAAAATGTATATTCATTATAAAAATGCCCATGTCTTTTTAAGATTTGATTAATTTACATGACCTTTCCAGGTGTTGAAATCACATTTCAGAATTAGACTACCTCATGTGTGCAGGTTTTCAAATATAGTGTAAATCCTGGTTCTTCAAAGGAAACTGAGGTTTGGATGGATTGAAATAATATATTTCTTTCTCAGGTCTTGGGGAGTGCCATGGCGTTTGGAATCCGGTATCATCTTGTGCGTCTGTTCTATGACGTCTAGACCACTGAAGCTCCTGAGAGACTTTACAACCTGCTGCTTTCATCTGGAGAAAACACAAAATACTGAAACAAAACTGATTGTTGTAAGAATGATTACTATACTGCCTGTCCTATATAAAGTATGGAATCTTGACACGCTGTATTCCAGCTTCTCTGTCTGATACATCTGCATGTGCAGGGACAGTCTATACATATGCCCTTAATTCTCGTTGGGACATGAAAACCTTGTAGATAATGAACAATGTCTGCATAAAGATTTCCAATAATTTGGGTTGACCTGAAAAGAGGGTTCTATTTTGAAGGATTATATGAAAATGTTACATTCAGTGATATTTTAGGCAGTTGGTGAAATTTTTGAGAACATTTCTGAAAGATTACTTGATATATGCAGTAATATTTTTTGTGTCAGATCTAATATTATGCCTTTGACTCATTTGAATAAACCAACAATGACAATGGACCACACTAGTTTCTGGAAAGGAAAATGTGCTTTATATTTATACAGTTTTTATAAATTATTCTACATTTTGTATGCTTTATATTTATACTGTTCTTATGCGGTATTCAGACCAGAAATCAAACATAACCCAGACATAATGTTAGGGTTTTCCAGGTTCTCAAATTTGATGGTCCCCTTCCTAAAATACAAAGGCAGCCTTTAAGCTTCATACTGTATATAATAACCCTTTTATACTACAGTAAGTGTAGTATTTTAATGAGAACATTATGTTCAGAGCAGTTGTCTTGGAACAGAAAATCAGTCATATGGACTACTTCTAATGACTTTTTAAATAAAAAAACTTTTAGAACTCTTTCTACTCACCCCCACGTTCAAACCTATATGACTTTGTTTATTCTTCGAAACAGAAATGAAATGAAACCTGAGAGGTTTATATAAATTATAACATAATTTTTTATTTTTTATTCATTTCAAACTAAAGGAACTTAAACTGAAATAAGTTTAAGTTGAAGTACTAAAATTGTTAACTGAAAATGTAATAAAATAAAAATAAAATACTATGTGTATATATATGTAAGCACATAACAAATATTCTAAAAAATGAAACTAAAATTAAAATGAAAACTGAAAATAAAAGCTAATTGAAAATATTCATAAAAACTCTCAATATAACAGCACTGCTTCGAAAGCCTCCTCTTGTTGCAATTGTTAGATGTAAATTTGTATAAAAAGGAGTTCAATTTTAAGAATAAACATACCATTTATTGCAAAATAGATAACAATATAGCAGTTCAGTTCAGGTTAAATGTGTTCAAAGGGGACTATTAGTGCTGAGGATGTGCTAGTTACACATAACATTTATTTCTTCATCTATTCGACATTGCATTAACAGTTTCTGGCACATTTTTATGCACTGTCCGTCTGTCTTTATTAATGTTACATCAGCGGTGGATTGTTTCTAAGTGTTGAGCCTTAGCAGCTGTCTCAGCTCAAGGTTTCTGGCAGTCAGAGTCCCTGTGGCACTGACTCCATTGGCCTGGTCCATAATCGATACTTGGCTCGCCTGCATGTTTTACAGAAGAGGAGCATAACTGTCTTTGGAGAGACTGTGGCTTCTGCTCAGTGGAAGGAAATGCAGAGCTTCTCAGACACATGTTCTTCCATTGCTACCACACCAAGTTGAAGCAGTGGGGTCTTGCTATACTCAACGGCCACAGCGACATGGGTGCCTGTTCGGTCGGCCTCCATAACCGCAACATTGTGCCTGAGGTCCAAGAGAACTTCCTTTGTCTTTGGGAGCACTGTGAGGTATGAAAGCAATTTTCCACTTTTAAGTAGATTATATTTTACTGTATGTGGCTTGTCAAATCAAGTTTATTGAGGTGTGAAGAATAAGTGGGAGGGTTTTTATTTTACTATTATATGTATTCTGTTTGGCAGTGCTTTAAAAATAAAGTGCTCCGCTGATAAGCGTGTTTCTATTCAGATGTCTATGGATAATCCAGAGTGGTTCTACAGACATGTGGAGATGCATGCCCATTGTCTCGAGGCTAATGAAGAAAATGTGTTGTTCTGTGGCTGGAAGGGTAAGAAATAACTTCAAGGCCTCTCCATTGTCCACAACTATATTCGAAAGCCCTATAATTTTTCTAGTTTGTGATTTAGAGGAGAAGCCTTAATGAAAAGGACATAAAAAAAAAATCTTACAATTTCTATCTGATGAAATGTGTTAGAGCTTAGCATAACTATAAAAATGTATATTCATTATTTTTTCAGGTCCAAAAATCACAAATTTAAAAATAGGCTACCTTATGTGTTATATGAACCCTAATTCTTTAAATAAATAAAAAATAAAAGAATCATTATTTTAGCTTATTTTATCATATGATGTTGCTAAAAAGAACATTATTTGGTGTATTTGGTGTAATGAAATGTGTTTATGCGGTTTAAGGTTAAAAAAACACATTATTTTCCACATACTGTACATTATTGTTTCTCCTCCCTGCCCAGCCTTTCTGAAACACGTCGATTTTTACAAA